TCTAGGGATGTAACGATTCACTCAACTCACGATTCGATTTGATTCACGATTTTGATTTCACGATTCGATTCATGATTTTTTTTAACAAAATGAGTTTTAAGACAAATTATAAATTAAATGTGTCCTTTTATTATTGCTTGAAAAAAATACTGTACGTTTCTTTGTGAAACTGAAATATAACTATAATGATATACTAATATAGCACTTGCATATTGTTGCTCTTTTGTTGGTTTTGATTGCTTCTATTGTCCTCATTTGTTAGTCGCTTTGGATAAAAGCGTTTGCTAAATAACAAAATTTAAATATAATGTAAATGTAAATAACAAAACTAAATTGAAATTTTAAAACAAACCCCAAATAAAATAAATAACACAAATAAAATAAATCTCTTCATATAAACAAAGACTTGTCCGTGCGCTTTCCTTTTAAAATTAGAGGCAACCACTGCATTTTAATCATGATCCAAACAAAGATGCTGCATACATGCAACATGAGCCGTTTTTAATCTAAATTAGATCGTATAATTTCGAAATTTGAAACAAAAACAAAATGGTTTGACTTCAGTTTTGTGAAACTATGCATAAGAAATATCTGCATGAAACAGCAGACGAGCTGAACGAGACGCAGATTCACTCTCTGCCAGCAGCTGGCGCTTAAAGCGTTTCCTTGGTTTCCGCTGTAAACAAATCAGCGCTGCACACATTCATATAAACTCCTACCCCTAATTGAATCGCGATTTGTTTAGCATCTCAACCGATTTGAATCGTCACATATTTAAATCGATTTTCAACCGGCTCACGGTTAATCGTTACATCCCTACTAATATCTGATCTGGTCATTTTTAATTAAGTAACCAAATACCTCGCCTTTAGTGACTTACCAAGAGACAGTTCACAAACTCTGGGCCTCCAACCAGTACAGTGAAGCCCCCGAGCTGCTCAGCCAAGGCAAGGAGAACTTCATCCTCATCATATATGGTGTCTGCAGATGAAGGGATGTCAGGTAGCTAACTGATATTTAGGCAAGTAATACAAACCAAAAGCAAGTGTAACAGACCAAGGTCTTTGAAAGAACAACAAATGGTCAATAAACAACAATATAACAATTAAAAAAATGAATTTTCTCTTCCCACATATTTCATAACACTTAGTTGTTCAAATTATTTTTGGACGTGATGATAGTTTTATAAAAAAAAGACAAACATAAAGCCTAATTAATATACCAAAGGATTGCATGTGAACCAAAAGAGAACTCCGTATGATTCATAGGGCTCAATGTGTTTACGCATTGCAGCTGGATAATTCATTCACACTATTTTTCAAATGCATGTTATTGATCTTATAGTGAAAGATTTATGCATAATATTTCTGGCCTTGAAAATTAATCTAAATGTCTTGATCTTCTGATGAAACGACAGACTCTGGTGACATATGAGGGACTTCTCCAACCATTTTGTCCATTTAAACCCTAACTAGGTCTTACAATCAATTGCAAACTTGCATTCACATTTGCCTCAATACGATCAACAATCAGTGGATTGAACCACGTCCTGTCCTACATTTTTTTTTCTTTTTCAATAATCAGTTTCATTCAGAGGTACATCTCATTATGGAAGAAAGCATCTGTTGCCAATTTCATTACATCGCAACTTTAGCTATTATTGCAAATTAAAACCCAAGAAATTTGCTAAAATACATATAAAATTACATATAAAATAATTGAATAAAATAGATAAGTATATTTTCTATACTACAAAAAATGGCACTAAATAATTTTGTAATATCCTACAATGAAAATTAATTGACAGGCCAAGTAAATAAAAAAATAACACAGATGAGCCATGATTAACAAACAAAAGTTAAGATCCATCTAACAGTTCATTTGTTTCAGAAATACTGGGATTTCTTACCAGTAAGGAATGGCAGTAGTTCAGTTTGTGTTCTTTCCACACCCAGTGCCAGAGCAATAGTGGACAACTTCTTAATACTGTTCAACCGCAACTGAGGATGGGCACAGAATAACATTAACAGTCACAAATTATGCAAACCCCGTCTTACACTTACTGTTATGTTTCATCACATTATGCATAAAAATCCAGGTCAGTGGTTCTCATCCACGGTACTGGAGGACAGTTTAGTACCTCTCCTTAAATTTAACACACTTCATTAGTAAAGGCTTCAAGACCTGACCTGGGTGTGTCAGGTAATGACAGGATCGAGAAACACTGACCTGGAGAATGACAAAATGACTGGCATCCTAATGTACACGTTTTAACAGCCCAAAAATGTCGCCAAGATAAATGTTGAGAATTAGCCGGTCAATTTCAAGCTTATTATGCCCGGATCCAACTTCTATCTTCAGGCTTTATGTTATGGATCAAATAGACATCTAAAAAAAACCTTAATGCAAGTTGATAATTTTCTGGAAACAGCTACATGAGAGAATATTGAGGAAAAAGTAAGGAGAAGAAAATGATGTTTCTTTTGTAAATGAATCGCTTGCACGGTTAGCGGGCAGTGCTGGAAGATGCTAATAAAACGCGATTTTTTTAATACATATGAATCAAACTCAGATTCTCTTAGACTGGTGTCTACCTGAACGTCTTCATTTCTCAATTCATCGATTAAAACCGCAATGGGATAAAGCGAATCGTCTCCCTCTGCTCCTGCCATTTTAGACTTAGATGTTTACTGCAGAGGCGTTTGGCGTTGTGCTGCATGACTTCCGCTCGCCGCGCGGGCTGATGGGAAAACACTCAACAAGTTTAAAGTCCAGGGCTGCGTTCAGCCCCGACAAAACGGTGCAAAACGTTTTTTAAACGGAAACGGTGGTGCGATGAACACACTGTTCTGATGACGCAAGAGTTGCAAATATGGCAGCTGAGGAGGCCATTCTTTGTGTTCTTTTTGAAGGATTTTCGGGACAAAACGGTGCAAAACGTTTTTTAAACGGAAACGGTGGTGCGTTGAACACCTTGTTCTGATGACGCAAGAGTTGCAACTATGGTAGCTGAGAAGGCCATTCTTTGTGGGGTTTTTTTGAAGAATTTTCGGAGCCTGATGAAATCGGTATAAATACGTGTTTAATACTGCAAAATGCGCTCGATGGTACAGTCATTGCCCTTGCCGTCCAGAATAAAAGAGAACATCCCAATCAAATGGGATGGGATTTGTGGAAACTGTGGTTCCTAATTATTGTGATCCAACATTTGCCTCGCATTTCAGGATGAAAAGGCAAACATTTCAGGTGAAGGATAATCCACTTCTTACCTCCGACACTGTGTTATGATCTATATGGCCTTATTTTTATTGTGAGTATTAGGCTTATCATTATTGCTGATCACTGTTGTTGTGCTATGTTATTGTAATATTTACCATTATATAATCAGAGGAATATAGAATGATATTTAGACAGACTAGAGAAAACGTATCTCAAACCCCGTTGCACACCGTTTCCAGGAAACATGTCGATCAAACCGGAAACCGTAGCAAAATGTTGTGCACCGGTTTGAGCTTGAACTTGCCCCAGTTCTTCTTCTTCTTCTTCTTCTTCTTCTTTGTTTTATGGCGAGTTGCAATCTTTGCGCATATCGCCACCTACTGTGCTATTATGCAATCAGGATTTTCTTTTATTAAGTTGGCTTGTGAAAGCCAACTTACTGAAATGCTATTTAAACTTATTATTATTATTCTTCTGATCCTAAATTATCAACTCTATCTCCTCCTAGAGCTTTAACTCTACAGACTCCAAACTCAGCCCAGCTCTTCAGACTGATCTGACCGAGTGTGCTATATCTTTTCTAACTGATCGGACTTATGGTTTTCTTAAAAATGAATATTAAAAATCATAAAAATCCCATAGACTTACATTGAAAAGTTTCTGCACATCTGAACATTCCGTCAAACTCCAACTGTCAAAATTCAAATCTAAACACACTGAAGCCCATTAGACTCAATCAGACTTGC